CAAAGAACAGCGGTCCTGATCAAGGAGTGTGGACTGCTGTTGCGTCTATCCCTCACTTATACATTCCACCATGCTGTGAGCACTTACTGAGTGCCCAGCTCTGTGCTTGGCACTGCCCTCAGAGGTAAGAGAGATGAGGTTGTGCCATGGAGATGCTCAGGGCCTGGTAGGGACAATCAACCCAGGCCTGTCTCCCTTCACTAGAGGCTGGGTACAGTCACCATCAGCGGGAGGAGAGGAGGGGAACTCCAGTCACTAGGCTCCCCATACAAACACCAGGCCCCAGGCGATCCCACCCTGTTGTCTGGGCAGCCTGGCCCTGGGACAGCCTTGTGCTGAGGCTCTGGAGCGGGACGTTCCACCAGCTGAGGGGGCATGGGGCACCAGGGCCTTGTGCCAGACGGTTCCCCCTGCCTACCAATACCACACATGGAGGGCGGCTGGGAAGTGAGGCTCAGAGGCAGCCTGCATGAACGTGGGAAGGACTGGCCAGGCCCTCAATGCCCTGCCCTGGAGCCCTGGCCACCTGAGGGCCTCTAGCTGCCAACAGGTTCTCTGCCCCACCCCTGCCCACCTGGCACCTCTTCTGTGGTTGGCTTCAGACTCCTGTTTAATGAGGCTTTTCCCCATTCCAAGGGAAGGCTGGCTGACAAGATGAGCCCTCTGCCCACCAGGCAACCCCCGCCCCCTGCCCCCCAACTACCCTTGTCAACGCACATACGTACCAGGCCAGAGGCTGTAGGCTGAGCTGAATTCTGAGGTTTCCCAGACCTAGCCTGAGCTGTGGTGCAATCTGGGACTTAACCAGCCTGGCCAAGGATTGTCAGCTCTAGCTCTCCCTCAGGCGAGAGGGCTCTCCAGGGCTTCCTGGCCAAAGCTAGCCCTCCCCAGGGAGGGTGGTTTGCTGAGAAACCTGCTGTGGAACCACCTTCTCCCTCCTGCCTTGAAGCAGAGACCCACCCCACCCCACCCCTGGCAGGGTGGGACTCCAGGACTGTCTTCCTAGAGTGGCACCTTGGACCCCAGGCTCTGTTCCTAAGACTTCCCAGGGTCGGAGCTGCCCACTCCACCAGCCAGGCTTACAAACCTGAGGGCCAAAGAGCCAGAGCCAGGGCTGGATGGCAGGGCCTTCTCTGAAAGAGAAGCTTAGACTCGAAAGCCCCCTGGTTTGGAGGGACTTGTGGGTCCCTCTACCTGCTGGGCCATCACTCCAGGCATTTGTACCCTTAGGCAGTGAATGGTGGGATGCCTTCACCAAGGCCCCAGGTTCCTGAGGGAATGGGCCCTGAGGCTCGGTCTCCCTGCCTGCCATGAGGGCTGATGTTGTCTAGCTACCACTATCCTGGCAACGCATCAGGATAAAACGGCCCCAGAGGTTTCCAGGACGCTTCCCAACTTCATAGGCCCTTGGCTTCTGCTCCAAAAAATTCTGGAATAAAGCAAGATTTTCATATCTGACCAACGAGGTAGGCAGGGCTGATATTCCATCCTCATTTTACAAGGGGCAAACTGGCCTTGTGAAAAGGTCAGTGAGCCTAGAGCTGGGCTTCCTAACCTACTTCGCATCATGGCACACTTAAAAATTATCACTGGAATAACTAGAGAAGGAGGCCAGAGGCTGAAGCACCCATGGGAAGTCCTGGGCATAGTGAGCAAGGAGGAGAGAGGAAGGTAATGGTGAGGTCAGAGAGAGAGTAGGGGCCTGATCATGTACAGTTTTGTAGGCCTGGGTAAGGCTATTGGAGGCTCTAGGCAGAAGAGTGATGTTATCCATGTGGCTGTTGGACGCAGGACTGGCTGAGGGGGCATGAGGCTGCTGCAGTCATCCAGGTGAGAAGTGACTGTGGCTTGGACTGGGTGGAGACAGGGAGGAAGGAAGGAGTGGTTGGATTCTAGATATATTTTGAAAGTAGAGCCATTATGATTTGCTGACAAATTGGATGTGGGATGTGAGAGAACAAGAAGAGTCAAGGATGACTCCAAGGTGTTTCAATGTGAATACCTAGAAGAATGGATTGCCATTAAGATGGGGAGGAGTGTTTGGGGCAGGAAGTCAAAGGTTCTGAATTGGACATGTTGAGTTTGGGTAGCATTTTAGACCTCTGAGTAGAACTAATGAGTAGGCATTTGGAGGTGGAGTTCCTAGGAGAAGTGGGGGCTAGAGATAGAATTGTGGAGTCATCAGATGAAGACCTTTAAAGCTGTGAGACTGAATGAGAGCACCCTGGGAGTGAAGGTAGATAGAGAGCTGAGGACCAATCTCAGGTCAAGTCAGGAGGAGAATGAGGAGCCAGAAACAAGGCTGAGAAAGAGTAGCCTGTGAGGCTGGAGGAAAATCAAGTGAGTGTGGCATTCTAGAAGCCAAGTGAAGAAACTATTTCAAGTCGGGGGGAGAAATCAGTTGTGTCCAGTGCTGCCGGGAGGTTAGGTAAAATGAAGACTTTGAATTGACCACTGAGTTCTGCAGCATGGAAGTCAATGGTGACTTTGACAAGAGTCATCTGGTGAAGTGATGAGGCAACACAATGGCTAGGTTGAAGAGAGAACAAGAGCTGAGAACTAGAGGCAGCGAATGGCTCTGATGAGGTTTGTAGGAAAGGAGAGGGAGACATGAGGTGGTAGCTGGGGGAGGATTTACAGATGGGAGAAATGGAAGTCTGTTGGTACCCTGGTGGGAATGAGACTGGGCTTGCAAAGTGCTTGGCACAGTACCTGGCATGTAGCACATACTCAGTACATGAAGGATTTCACATGGATCCACACACCTAGCAGCTGTCCTGGCTCATTCCTCTTTTTCTTGCCAGCCACCTGCAGGCCTGAGGATCCTACATTCCAACTTCCATTCTCACACACCCCTCAACCTGTCACAGGTGTGTCTAGAGTAAGTGCTGGGGATAAAAGAAAGCCTGAGAGTGGCATGAGCCTCCCCCAGCTTACTCAGGAAGCCTGGCTTAGAACAGCACAGGAAAGTCACAGTGTTCAAGGCCTGGGGACAGCATGGCCCCATCAGCGCCCTGCCCAGGTGATGCTACTAGTGGGCTTCCAGTCATGCTTGCCATCTCCAGGCAAACCCCCTTTGGCATAATCAGAGCCAAGCATCTGGCCCATGTGAGGTCCAGCACCAGAGGGCTAGGGAAGCACTGTGAGTAGCATTTCCTTTGCACCTGTGAAGGCTCTTCAAGGTGAATGAGGGGTTTCCTACATGTCCCTTCCTCATTACCTGACACCTGAGTAATTGAGCTCTTAGGTATTGTCTGGCTTTATCCTCACAATAACCCTATGATCATCTCCATCTCCATTTGACAAGGAAACGGATGCTCAGATATCGTAGTTAAGTTCTGGAAGGCTACACATTAGAGCCAGGATCTGAACGTGTTCAGCCGACTCTTCCTCAAGCTCACAGTGGAGCGCCCTCCCTGGGGCTGACAGGAGGAGGCTCTCCTGCCCGCCCGAGGAGGCCGGGCAGGGTCGGGGCGGCGGCGGGTGGTGGTTGTGGTGGGCTCTGGTTAGAGGTGAGGCATCAGGCTGAGGAAGGGGCTGTGGTGCCAAATCCATGCAGCTGCAAAGGAGCTACCACTACTGGGACATCAACCCCTGTCTGCCTGAGGACAAAAGGAAGGCTGATTAGCCCTGGAGTGTAAGGCTCCTCATGGAAGGCAGACGGCAGGGGACTGACAGTTGGCAGTGTGAGCACCTGCCTCAAGCTCCTCTGGAGGCAGCAATGGGGGAAGATGGTGGCCAGGGCTGTCTGGTGCTGGGAGCTGTGGGAGCCTGTGCCCACCTGGGAGCCTCACGCCTTGGCTACGATGTGGCTCATACTGGGCCTTCCTTCTGGCTTCACCCTGGATCCCCCACAGCCAGTGCCAAGGGAACTGTGCCAGGCCTCCTCACCTTGAGCTACCCTAACCTTCCCCAGACCTGGCAATGAAGGGATCACGAACCCCATCCATTACACAGGAGAGGAAACTGAAGTGCAGAGATATTAAAGAGTCTAACTAAATTCACCCAGTGGGAAATTTCACCCACAGGGTGAGAAGGAGCCCAGGCCACAGCCTCTCATTACTGTCTTACTCCAAAGATGTCCTCTGTTTCTTCTGTCACGTGTCAGAAGTCACTCATCTGTGCTCCCAACCTGTAGCATCCCCACAGATGGACTTTTCTGAGTGGAAGCTGAGCCTCAGTTGTCGGTGATGTCTCCAGTTGTCTGAGCAGGTGAACACTGAGGATATGCAGAGCTGGGCCTTGGCCCTGAGCAGCAACTCCCTGTGGCTTGGTTGCATGGGGAGCCCCCTTCCCAGCCTGACTGAGTCATCTCATGACAGATCCATGTGACTAGTGTGAAAAGTAAGAGTCCTGCGGTGTTGAGGAAACAGGAAGTGTGGGGGCTGGGTAAGTTGGCCCTGGAGAGAGCCAGGCCCCACCTGGCCCCACCTCCCCTGAGTTAGAGGGCTGGGGGGGGGCGCTTCCCTGTGTCAGCAAATCCTGTTAAGCTTGAGATGGGACAAAGGGTCAGACTTAGGACCCCCAGTCTGGGGGCTGGAGGAGAAGGAAAGAAAGCTTCAGGCTGTCCTGAGGTACACCAGGTCCTCAGACCATGCCCTGATGTCTGGGGCCAGAGGCTGTGAGCAGCCCCCCAGACAAGCCATACTGCCTCAGAGAAACTGGGGTATCTATGAGACCAGGAGGAAGGAAGAATTTCCTGGACAGGGGAGATGTACCTCAGAAAATGCACAGAAAGACTGAGAAGCTCTCTAGGAGATGAGACTGCTTGGGCAAAGTCTAGGGGGTGGTGGGCAGGAGGGCAGGGCCACTGGACACAGGGTTGATTGAGGGCTAGCCCCCTCCCATGAGGCCTGTGGTTTTGACCACCACACTTTCCTTTGACAGTTGGGCTGCGTGTACACAGCTAAATGAGGCTCTGCCTATATGTTTGCCTCCAGCCCTGTGCCTTCATCCCTCAGGTCTCCCCACTTTCACCCATCCTCCTTCTCATTTTTCAGCACAACAAGACCAGTCAGCCCGCCCACGGTGTCCCCCAACTCTCTCCTCTCTATGAACATTTCAGCAGCCCACACCCCACACCTGCACCAGCCGACATCAGCCAGAAGCAAGGTATGGGCCTGGGATGGGGAGGGGCCTAACAAGATGCAGAGACTGGGGGCCAAGTCCCCAGCTTCTGAGACCGGGTGGCTGGCCCCTTTTTACACCTGGAGTACCTGGGGCTGTGTAAACTCAGGGCCCAAAGAAACTGCCAGGAAGATGGATTGAGGGCGCCAGAGGGCTGGGGGAGGTGGTGTCAGGTCAAAATTTGAAGGCTTCCAGTTGAAGTAGGAGCCTAAATCCTGAGTGACCACCCCCCCACCGCCATTATGGAAGCAGGCATTTGTGTAAAGTTGATAACTATAAAACTTGTAGCCTTTCCCTCCCCACAGTGAGAAAATGGAAAGTGGTGGTTGTGATGGCTGATTCACTTCAGCCTCAGGCAAAGTCATTCTGAAATCAGCCATTGTGGGCTATGGGAAACCTGCTGACTCAACCTTGGGGGGAGGGGTAGGTCCTGGTTCCCCAGAGGCCAGGTTCCCCCAGCCCAGGGGGCCTGCCTCCTGCTCAGAAAGCCAGGCCAGAGCCACCAGCAGAAAGGCTCCAATTGCAGACCAACAGTGGACCAGGGCGTGGCAAGGCTTGGCCTCCCAATCCTGAATGACTTCAACTTTGCCGATGGCCCAGCCAGTGCCCTTAGGCAAGTCACCCAACCCCTCTGCCCTTGGTTCCCTAGCCTGTAAAGGGGTGCTATTATCACATTGGGATAGTCCTGAACAAACCAGTGTGTCTGGTCCTCTAGCAAAGGGGAGTAGGTTCTTAGAAGCCCCACTGGAGGCTCTAGAAGGCAGTAACTAGCTGAAGTGGACCTCCGGGTCAGGCTGGCTTACTTACTCAGCCTCTCTCCACTGTAGGAGTTCACAGACCTCTACAGACTCCTGACCTCTCTGGCTTCTACTCCCTGACCTCAGGCAGCATGGGACAGCTCCCCCACACTGTGAGCTGGTGAGTGTGGGCCCAGTGGGAAAGGGGTATCTTGTGCTGGTTGGACCCATACCTAACCTTCCATTTTCCTCCTCCATCCTTCTGTGCTGAGCACCCTGCTGCCAGCTCTATATAGGTACCGAGGGGCTGGCCGGCAGCTCTATTCATTCCCCAGGTAGCCTGACATACTCCCTTTGGGAAGCCTCAGGAGACCTGGCTCCTGGTCCCAGCCCTGTCACACTTGAACTCTGCCTCAGTGTCTAAGAGACTTGAATGGGGGAACCCTGGGCTGCTCAGGGCTATATGAGTATGTGAGGAAGAAAAGGTAGGCCTGAGCAAGGAGGTGACAGCGTGATTTGGCCACAAGAGAGGCTGTTGCTTCTCAGCCTCCTGGTGGGCAGGGGGATACTTTCCACTTGCCCTAATGCCTGCTGCTGGCTGGTCCCTTTCTTGGCTGAGCTGCTTGAGGGGCAGGGTCCCTCCTTGCCCCTCTGGTGACCATCTGAGCCCAAGCCCCTGGCCAGCCTGCTTGGAGAGTCTATTACGGCTGGGCCAAGAAAAGCCAGCCTGGATCTCAAGTCACTGGGCCCAATGTGGGTCAAAGGGCCTGTCTTCAACTGGAGCTGGGCCTCAGCAGGCTACTTGGCTCTCTGCTCATCAACTGCAGTTTGACCTGAGCAGGTCTTTAGCCTTTGGGCTGGGGCAGTCACCAAACAGCAGGAAAGCCTGGCTTCCCAGGAAGGCAGGGCAGGCCAGAGGCCCAGCTTGGGGCCTGCGTGCCCCTTTCCACTTGCCCTTTATCCATGTTCAGATCACTCCTGCATTTCCAGATTCTCCTTGAACAAAGCTCCACTCTGAATACAAATCAGGACTACCCCCACCAGTAGCTACAGGATTCAGGTGTGCCAGGCAGGCTTCTGGGCACCAGAGAAGCACTGCTGAAGTTGGCTGATCCTCAGGTCCCTGTCCTCTCAGAACTCAGTCCACCTAGTGCGCAACCCAGGCAAGAGGCCAGTTACATGGCAATGTTAGCAGTACTTTGACTGGAAACTGTAGGAGCCCAGAAGTGTGCCTCATTCAGCTTGGGATCTCAAGGGCTTTCAGGAGAAAGCGTCATTTAGCCAAGCAAGACCTGAAGGATGATCAGGAGTTGAAGCAGGCAAAGTGGGGTAGAAGAACAATCCTGGCAGTGTCAACAGTGGATGCAAAGGCCCTAGTGTAGGTATCAACCCTGTATTGACAAGGAAATTGCAGGAGGCAAGGCTGGAGGGGACCTGGGGTCCTGCCAAGCTGGGTCCCAGGAAAATGCTGCCATTTACACCTTAAGCACCAGTACAAGCCTGTAGAAGGAAACTGGTGCAGCACAGTGCCCTCTGGTGGCAGATGCTTAAAACCCAAAGGTGGAGTGGTCTTCACACTATGGGTCAGGCCCAAGAAAGGTGGGGAAGTCCTTCCCCACATCTGGCCAGTAGCCACACTGCTAACAGCTGTCTTTCCCAACCACAGGCCCAGCCCTCCTCTCTACCCCCTGTCCCCTTCCTGCGGATATAGACAGCACTTCCCTGCCCCCACTGCAGCCCCTGGCACCCCCTACCCCAGGTGAGTCCCCTATCCTGCAGCCGGGCTCCTGCTTCCTGTTGCCCAGGCTTCAGTGCCCACGAGGCCATGCCCAGGCCATTGCTTGCCCTGTGCTAGTTGCTTGTCCATCCGTTTGTCTGTCATTCTGCAGCCCCCTGCTGCCCTGTGCCTGAGAATAAAGCCAGTGGGAGTGCAAGAGGCCTATACCCAGTCCATACTGTGCAGCAGAGCACCACAGAGCAGCCAGTGCGTGCACACATGTGCTTGTGCTCCTGCCTCTGTGCGTATGTGAGTCAGCCTGTGTGCAGATGTATGTGCACTCACCTCTCTTTTGCATCCCTGCTGAGGGAGCACCTTTTACATGTGTCTCCAACCTCTGGCCCTTAGGGGCTGCCTGCTCAGGGACACCACACCTTGCAAGCAGCAAGGGGCAGAATGGTATTTAGAGAACAGCGAGAAAGTGAAGTGGGAGGTGTGTGTGTATGTGTATCCCTTCACCTAATTAGGTCACTCTCTCAGTGACACACCCATGCCAAGTATGGAACAAAGAATTCAGCTGACATTTCCAGCTGTACCAGAGCTCACAGCCCAGGACAGGAGGTAGTGACACAGCACCAGCAGTTGAATAAGCTATCTGGGTGATGGGGAATCTCCAGGGAGACCCCAGCCAGGTTTGATGGGTCAGGAAGAGCTTCGTGAAAAGGGTAACATTTTCTGAGCGAGGGGGACAAAGGGAACAGCAGTAGTTGGGGATGGCTGGGGGTGGGAGTGATGGGAAACAGAGGGGAAGAGATGGGGCTAGAAATGTCAGCAGGGATGGTAATGCAAGGCTGTGCAGGCCCCAGGGAGGAGGCTGGGTTTTATTCTGTGGTCAATGGAGGAATTTCAGCAGGAGTACTCAGGTGTTTTTAAAAGGTCACTCTGGCTGTTGTGTGGAGGGAGTCCTGGAGGGGTCAAGCAGAAGAGTGAGGAAGCCCCCAGGGCAGCCACAGGCTCATGAAGCTGAACTGGTTAGGGCAAGAGGTGAGGAGACAGATTCAAAAGGTATTTAGGACTTAGTAACCACCTGAATGACGTATGTGTAGATTTCACAATGTGTCTGTGTAACGTGTTGGGAGCAGGTATTTGTACGTATCTCTGTGTACTTGTGTGCAGGTTAATGGGGGTGGGGTATCTGTTCACTTGTCTTCGTGTACTGTGGAGGGGCCTCCTTGTGTCCAAACATCTGGCCTGTACCTACCTTGGCTCAGTGTTAACTCCCCTCCTGCTTCTAGGTTCACCCACCCATCCCTGATGCTAGGCTCCGGCGTACCTGGTCACCCCGCAGCCATTCCCCACCCAGCCATTGTGCCCCCCTCAGGGAAGCAGGAGCTGCAGCCCTATGACCGAACCCTGTGAGTGAAAAGGCACACAGTGGGGAGGAGGGTGGGGAATAGGTGAGCAGATCTCAGGTTCCTCTTCATTCATCAGCTGGGATTCCTCCCACCAGGCCCAAAGCCTGCTGCCTAGAAGCTCCAGGGACTGCCAGAGGCGGCCTCTGGTCAGGTTGTCCGTGGCTCTTGCCAATGACCACTGTTTTTTGATTCTCAGAAGCAAGAGGGAGTGGGTAGGGTGGGGAACAAGGATTTAGTTCGAGGCAAGGGAAGGGCAGAGAAATCTTCACACGTACTTTTCTTACTTAGCTGCAGTATTTCTGTAATGAAGTTACTTAGCTCTGCTCATCCATTTTGGGGCAGCTCAGAAAAAAGGATTCCATTTACAAAACCCTAGTATCCATGCACTTACACATACACTAGAGGAGGGTGGTAGCATTAGGTGGACACTGTGGGGGCTCCCGAGTGACCTGAACATGTGTTTCTCAGGAAGACACAGGCCGAATCCAAGGCAGAGAAGGAGGCTAAGAAGCCAACCATCAAGAAGCCACTCAATGCCTTCATGCTGTACATGAAGGAGATGAGAGCCAAGGTCATTGCAGAGTGCACACTCAAGGAGAGCGCTGCTATCAACCAGATTCTGGGCCGCAGGGTAAGGCCACGGGCAGGTGGGCTGGCAGGGGCAGCTCCTGACCATCTTGACCCTGGTGCAGCCTGTTGACTCCCTGATGCACCACACCTGCCCCCCACTTCCCCGTTGCAGTGGCACGCGCTGTCGCGGGAAGAGCAGGCCAAGTATTATGAGCTGGCCCGCAAGGAGAGGCAGCTGCACATGCAGCTTTACCCAGGCTGGTCAGCGCGGGACAACTACGTAAGTGACCAACAACATACAGTAGGGGCCAGTAGGGGAACCTTCAAGATGTCATGCCCCAGGCCACAGTTTCAGCAGGGAAGGCAGGACTACTGTTCTGAAGGCACAGTTAAGGAGCGAAGGTGGTGGAGTGGAGAGTCCAAGGCCTCCCATGGCTGGGAGAAGAGAGCCAAGCAAGGGGAGCTGCTCCTAAAAGTAGGCCAACGTCCAGTTTTCTAACCCTACTCAGGGCTGTTACCCAGTATTTGGGCCACATGAGCAGAAGGGGAGAAAGGGGCCTGGAAGTCACCATCTCCATTCAAAATGGAGACCAGCATGGCAAAGGGAGGAGAGGAGCCCCTAACTGCCCCATGGTAACCTAGCAAGAATTGCAATCAAGAAACACCAGGCCCCCAGGTAGTGGGGGACTGCGTGCTTGGAATCCCAGTGGCAGCCAAGCTAGGGATAAGCCTGCAGGTGTCCTAGCCACTCGCTTACTAGGTTTATGGCATCTGCCTCCCAGATCTGATCATCCCTCCTTTTGTTCCCCGCAGGGGAAGAAGAAGAGGCGGTCAAGGGAAAAGCACCAAGAATCCAACACAGGTGAGGCCTTCCCTCAGCAGTGATGGAGACTCCTTTCCAGGCCTCCACTTGACAAGCAGCCCTGCTCTGACCAAGAGGGAGGAGGGGCAGAGTACTCAGCCACAAACCTTGAGGGCCTGGGCCCTCTAGAAACAAGGCCTGCATCTCACAAGTCAAACCCCCATGTGAGGAACAGCTATACTAGGTCCCAGGGAAGACCAGCAGAAGCCAATTCATGTAGCAGTGGTATGTTGACCCACAGCACCCCCACCACCTTTGCTAGCCCTGCTCATAGCTAGCCTTTGCCAGAGAAACTAGTGAGGAACTGAGCATATGATTTAATACTAAACTCAAACACCGCATCCTGGTTAGTTCTGCTGAGGTGGGCAGCAGGCTGTCCAGTTGAAGGCTGAGCCAGGCTCCATGCCTAGGCCCAGTAGTCTCACAGCCTGATGGCTAATGCCCGGCAATTTCTCTGTCACTGCCCCACCACCCCAACCGTTTTTCAGTGCAAAGTGCTCTGCATAAGAATCCAGAGAGCCCACACCCTGCCACAGGTCTCCTTCCTGTGGGTGAATTCCTGCTCCAACTCTGGTAATTCAGACTTCACATCCATGAAGCACTTTCTCAGGTGTGCTGCCACCACACACAGAAGCTAGAGGCTAGGACTAGGGCAAGGCAGAGTCCTCAGCCATTTTTTCTGAGATTGAAGAATGGCCTTTATCTTATGTGTAGAACAGGCTTAAACTACAGCATGAGAAGATATGGGTCAGGCAGATTGGGCACTGGCAATAATTTTTAAAAACTGGATAAAATGGGCAGGGGGTTGGGTAGCCCTAAGGCAGAAGACGCTGGATCCCCATGGGCCTCCCTGGGCTCCTCTCCTGCAGCTCTCATGCTGCAAGCGGCCCCATAAGCCACAGAGAAGAGCAGCCTGATAGGGTCCCCTCCCTTCCCAACCCCACCATTCTTCCCACTGCCTCTCCTGCCCAGCTGGGTGCCCACCTTTCCGGATACCTTGGCTCTGGGCCCTAGGGCTCCCACGGGGGCTGGCTGTGCCACGGAGAGGCTCACTCTGCCTGTGGGGGCTGCGGGGTATCTGTGACTGGCTAACACTGATGTTACCTCTTCTTTCTGGGCCCTGCTCTGCCCTGCTGCCTGCCTGCCTGCTCACCCTCTGCCCTGCTCTGCTCCTCTGGCATGGCTGTGAGTAGACCCTGGCTCGCCTAAGAAATGCCGTGCTCGCTTTGGCCTCAACCAGCAGACGGATTGGTGTGGTCCGTGCAGGTGGGTTTGTCCCCACCACTATCCTCTCTGCTTCAAGCTGCTTCCCTGACTTCCCTGTACAAGTTCTGCTGGGCCTGCAGCCCTCCTTTGGCCCCTCAGCACCCAGGCATACCCACAGATTGGGGAGGCCATGCCTCCTAAAAATGGGAGTGAACACTGAACACAGCTTTTGGGGAAGATCAGTTGGGTCTAGGTGGAAGGAAGGGGAAAGACAGAATGTTTTAGAAGGGAAGGGAAAGGCAGTCTCAAGAAGATAGTTCTGGTGCCTAGGGTCTTCTGGTAATGATGGTCGGGTGCTATTTAGGGCTAACAGGTCCTCAGCAGACAAATCTCACACACACCATTCAGGTGGCCTGAACCCCTGTTCCAAGGCCTAAATGTGATCATGGCCCACCAGCTCCCACTCACCTCTTCAAGTTGGGATCCCTGCCTATTTCATCCTGAACCCTTAAATCTAAGAAAAACAAGGTGATTAGAGATAACCTGAATAATGTGGATGCCAGGTGGCCATGTGACTCATTATCTTCTGCCTACTGAGACTCCAGGGCTGAAGAGGTAGGGAGAGAGGAGCAGGAATACTCCTGGGCTATCATAAGGCCCTGTGGCACTAAACCTGTGTGTTTTACCATACAACAGAGAAATACCTGTGTATGTGAAAAAAAGGTGGTATACCTACCAAGTAGCTAAAGTTGCCTAGCTTAGTTCAGGCCAGACCTGGTAGGGCTAAGGCTGAGGCTACTCCAGTTTAAGTTCACTGACTCTAACGAATACTCTTCCAGCCCCTCAGAATGCCTACCATGCTCCCAGTCCAAGGGCAAAGAGGAATTCAGGGAGTATGTATGTGTATATACACATGATGGGAGGCAACCCTGTCCTCGGAGGAGGTCCTCTTCCATCCATTCTACACTCCTCAGAGACAAATTGTGGTTCAGAGAACTCTAAGATGGTAAGAATAGGTGAGCCCCACTAACACGAAGCAGAGGCTCAAAGGCCCAGATTAGGAGATGGCTCCCCTGGAAAACAGGAGGCAGCCCACAGACCTAGCTACAAAAGGTCTCTGTGCCACCTTGTGGCTGTGCTGGGAACTGCACCTGGTCCAGGTCTGGGCCAGGCCCTGCAGAGTTGCAGTGCTGAAATTCAGGTCTGAAGGTATGGGCAAATAATGCAAGTCATGGGGAGAGGGGACAAGAAGGGCAACTAGGCCTGTGCAAGGACGGTATTTTTTGGTTGTGGTGTATGACTATGAATTCACCCTCTATTTACAGATAACTCTCTTCACTATTCCTAGGAGGAAAAAGAAATGCATTCGGTACTTACCCGGAGAAGGCCGCTGCCCCAGCCCCGTTCCTTCCGATGACAGTGCTCTAGGCTGCCCCGAGTCCCCAGCCCCCCAGGACTCGCCCTCATACCTCCTGCTGCCCGGCTTCCCCACAGAACTGCTTGCTAGTCCCGCAGAGCCAGCACCTACATCACCAGGTCTCTCAGCCACTCTCAGCCTCCCAACTCCCTGGGCCCCCACAGGCCTCCCACAGCACCCCGCAGAGTACACAGGTACAACAACAGGAATCTCAGAGACAGGCAGCCTAGCATGCACAGGACACCTGAGCTCCTCCAGGGACCCACCCTCTGAAAGGAGGCGACAGAGCCCCAAAGCGAGAGGAAACCGATCAGGGGCCCTGCTAACTTCTTCTGAGGGTCCAGGCCCTGGAGATTTCAGAGGCTGCACAACTTCTGCCTGAACCTGGGGCCATCAATTCAAACTGCTCTGAGTGGTGGGAATGAGATCTGTGTTGTGCCATCTGATTAAGGGCACCTTTTGTGCCCCTGGCAGCTGTGTCCATTCTTTTCACCATCTGTCTTGCTAGCCACATGCCCCTGCCTCTCTTGCTTTTCCGTTTTAGGGCAGAGATGGGCTGGACTGAGCCCACCTGCTTTCCCTACTCTGCTTCCCCACCACTGCCGTGCCCTCCCCACACCAGACACTTCATGGACCAAGAATGAGCTGGTTTATCAAACAACATGCGAGCATGGTCACAACCACAAAACTCAAGATGACAGTGCTTCTCTCTTAAGGGCCTGGAGAAGCCCTGTTTACAGAAAACCAGCTGCTATTCATAAGCTGGACAAGACAAAGCCTCTTGCCACATTCTCAGCTTGCAAGAAGAGGCGGGAATGGAGTAGATTAAGTTTAGGCCTATCACCCTAGGCAACATGAATAACCTGACACTACCTGATCAGGCAAGTGTGGGTGGTGGTGGGGTATCTGGCTTTAGTTCAAATTACTTGGAAATGTTTCCTGAGAAATTCAACCACCTAAGAAGCCTTGATACCAAAGTCCCAGGCCAGTCACTAGTGGCTGCGGTCAACAGTTCAAAGTCATGGCCCAAAATCCAGTGTATATCCTTGCCCATTCTGAGAGCCTTTTTCACAGCTCCACTTCCAGCTTACTCACGTCAGTCTAGCCAGCTCTTGGGCAGTTGTAAGAGAGGGCAAACCAAACCTCATGACAGCCAGTGCCTATCTTCCAGCATGAAACCAGGCCAACTCAGTTTCCCTATGGGGCTGCAGGAAGGAGGACCATTACAACCAAAGCAAGGAGCCCAGAAAACCTCTAGTGGTGAAGAGTGAGTTTCCACCACAGCCTACTTTAACCCATTTCTGAGCCAAGCTTCAATCCTGAGCCTTAAAAAACAAATCTTTTTTTAATTTAACTTTGTTTTTTGCCTCCTCCTCACTGTACATAGCCTGAATCCAAAGAAAAAGGGCCGTCCCTGTACCCACACACACCCCTCAACAAAAGCCTTTAAGTTGCTACTTCAGCCACTGGTTTCTCAGAATCCAAAGATCACATATTCTAGTATAGTGTTGCAGGAAGTCAAGAGAGAAAAAAGGACCATTGTAGTGTTCAAAATATTTTTGTATTGTTAATGCATCATCATAGAAACTTTTTTAACATGAGAATAAAGATACTTTTTACTGGGTTTCTTTTTCAAAAGCTTCACCCTGAGGAATGAGCTGTTTTAGTAACAGCATGACACCCTTTCCTTTTCTTCTCCAAAGCCATGAAACTTGGGGTTTATTCTCTATTATGGTACACATGTTCTCAAGATTTTCAACCTATAGAAGCCAGAGATTATTATTGTCATCTCCCCTTAAGGGGCTTGAGCCCTGCCCCAACCCTGAGAGCTGGGCTCATGCTGGGTATAAACTCCCATTCCAAGCCTTGCCCTTAACCCCTCAATCCTGACCTCACAACTGGTGCAGGTGCTGGCCAGTCTGCCCCCTAGTACTCATATGAGAATGGGTTGGAAACTGCCACCCACAGACCCTAGAACAATCCAACCAGGAACAGGTGCACATGACCACCAGGCTCCATTTTCCTCTGAGGGCAGAGAGAGAAAACACCCACAAGTACATATCCTGTTTTGAGGAAAACAAGAGCAAACAAGGGTCTTTTATAACCTGGTATCATCATAAAACCCACAAGAAGGTATTTGAATACCACCCTTCCCTCCCAAAGACTGTCTGTCTTTTAAGGTGCTTAAAGTGTCTTCATATTTTTATACAAAATCTCTGAAGTTTGATAAATCTGCAACCTCCTTTTTACATAGCAGTTTCCATCATGTTAAAATATACTGTTAACTTCCTGAAAGCCATCATGAATGTAAAAGGTGTCATAAAGCCACCTCAATAGGTGAATCAACCATTAGATACAAATGTCGGGCGAGAAGTGTATCTCAACAGCCAGCCACTGGGCCACCATCATGCATTGTAATTTTCACTTCACTGAGTTATATTTTTTGGATTTTATGTTTAAAAATATTTATAAATAAAGTCATCTTCCAGAGTAGTGTCTATTTAAAGTAGGCCACTGGAAGCTGTAATCCTAGACTTGCTTTTTTCTGGAAGGGTGCTAGAGGAGAACAGCTATTCTCTGGACATCTGTCCCATTTTAAAGAAAGAATCCTTCTCTGGCTGCTGGCCTAGTTGTTTCAAAAAACTACATTCTAACCAAGGCTTATGCAAGACTGGGTTGCTGCATCTGATTTGGTGTCTTATTTAGAGTACACTGGGTACATGAACAATGTACTCTTTGTGTATGTGAGGGCAGAGGGGGGGCTTTGGCAACTTTGTTAAAATCAAACCAGCCTTTTGGAAAAAAAAATGACTTCAAAGAAGAAACTCAAATCCTCCCAGATTATACCAGCACATTCCTGTGAGGCCACAGGGTGACTTAGGGGTGCAGCCCCAAATTCAACTTCAAATACCACACCAGTACTACCTCAGTGCAGCCAAGAACCAGCCCTGTTTTCTGAGACAAGATACCCCAACCTCCCTTACACATTCTTAGACAACTGGCAGATGTGCTTGAAATATAGACCTTGACCCTTTGTTGCAGCTGTTCCCCCTGCCCTCCTGTGCTCAGAGGATACTGGTGAGGGCTCAGCACAGCACGCTAGCAGGGCCTTCCCAAGTCTCCCAATTTGAAGGTGTTTCCCCCCTTTTACAGGAAGCCCACAGCTAGACTCTTCTGAGCTGTAAATATCTTTTGAATGGCTCAAAAGCACTGCTGCCCAGCTCTATTCGGTGTACAAGAAGCCTGGCTATGAAGGCCACAAGTGCAGAGAAGCAGAAAAAAGTGCAGAAGGGTCAACGGTAACAAGGACTTTCCAGGCCTATGTATCAAAGTAGAAGATTTGAGACCCAAAACTAATTCATTACATAAAAAAGCTAAATTGGGGGCCAGCCCGGTGGCGCAGCAATTAAGTGTGCACATTCCGCTTCTCGGCGGCCCAGGGTTCGCCGGTTCAGATCCTGGGTGTGGACATGGCACCGCTTGGCACGCCATGCTATGGTAGGCGTCCCACGTACAAAGTAGAGGAAGATGGGCACAGATCTTAGCTCAGGGCCAGGCTTCCTCAGCAAAAAGAGGAGGACTGGCAGTAGTTAGCTCAGGGCTAATCTTCCTCAAAAAAAAAAAAAGGCTAAACTGGCTTTTCTTTGAGGTTAGAAAGGCTGCCCTAGCATGACTGTTTTTCAGATCTCTTCAGAGCCTTAAGAGTTCACCAAGGGTCCTTTGAAACAGAGCTGGCCATCCAAGCAGACCCTGGTTCCTAGATTGTGTCAACTTCCCCAATCCCAACTATTCCAATCACCACCTGTTTCAGATCTCAAATCACCACGGGCCTCTTTTTACCTTAGGCTCCTGGGCTTTCTACTGGTCTGGAGCAGCTAAGACTTCCACTGGTCTATCTGTCCACAGTGGGCAGTGGGGGTCAGAGAGGAGCCCTAACTTCATGTAGTCACACAGCAGGGAGTTTTTTGGGGTTTTTTGGTGGAAGATTAGCCCTGAGCTAACATCTGTGCCCATCTTCCTCTATTTTATATGTGGAACGCCTGCCACAGCATGGCTTGACAAGCGGTGCATAGGTCCACACCCAGGATCCAAACCGGTGAACTCTGGGCCGCCGAAGCAGAATATGTGAATCACTGTGCCACCAGGCCGGCCCCCAGCAGGGAGTTTTAAAACAGTGAACACAGATGGGGATGTTCCCTAAGTCAGTTCCCTAGAATAAAAGCCTAGTTCAGGTCAGGAGAGATTTTAAAGTTGTTAAGGACAGTATGGGACTGGGCATAGAGTTAACTGGAAAGGGCAAATTCTGCCCAGGGGTAGGAACTATCCTATCTCTAGCAGTCCTCATGAGTTAGGTCACTAGCAATACAAAGAAAGGTATATTTTAGCTGCTAAGAATTATATGGGAGATAGTTACTAGTTCAGGCTGACATTTCTTTCACGTTCACCAGGGGCTCTGGACCAGGTCTTCCTCTGTCATTCCAGGTGTTCTCTCATTCCTTTATCTGAAGTCTTGTATTTTCAGGCATGTGCAGTCAGTGTTGGGGGGATATGGAAGAGGAGGAATTAAGTCACACACACACACAAAAAGCCACTCTGGAAACTCCTTTCAATATAGTTTTCTGAGTGTAGCCCTCTGTATTCTCACCCCTCCTTATTATAAGCGTCCTGGGACAGAAATATCTGCAAAACATCTAAAGCAGATAAGAGTCAAAGACTGTGAAATGGCACATTCAGCACAGAAAGGACAAATATGAACTTGTACCATACAGGTGAGAAGTACTGAAAGTGAGCACTTTTATGAAGCAGGCCGATCCTGAGTGTGCAAGAAGAGGTTGGCATATAGCAGGTTAGGTGCTCAGTAAATACTTGCTGAAAATTTTAAGTTGAGTGGTGTCGGAAGGTAATGAGAACTAGAGATGTGGAAGCAGATGTTGTTGTGAGCAACTATATTCCTCCCACAAAATGCCTCTTGGTATTGGCACAAAGACCAGATGTAGCCAACAGTGCACAATACTGCAAGGCAGCAAGTATGTCATCCACAAGTTAAGAGACTATCACTCAAACAGTGTTCCACATTGGAAATCTGTCAAACAAGGGCACCTTCACCAACATCTTTATGCCACCAACAATGCTCGGTTCCACTGACGGCTCAACAGGATGGACATTCAGTCTACCTTGCTTAGGTATCCAAATGGCTCAATCTTGGGGCAAGGGACATGTTCTAAACTACTTCTAACACCATTCTTTGTCTTAATATGCACATCCAGTTGTCTTACTCATTCTGCTTTTTCAAGGTAGTCATTTTAAATAACAGTAACAAGAAAAAGTTATCCGGACTCTAGCTGTAAAACCCCCCATTTTCAGAATACTTTAGTTCGATATTAAAAAAAATTTTAGTTCAAATACTCAAAAACTGCACTGCCTAACATGGGTCTGATGAATACTCTTCCTAGAGTGTCACAAAAATTTTGTAACCAATCTGGCTCTAATGTCTCTTGCCAGCCTATAGTCCCAAGCAGACCTACTGACACCCAAGCTCCTGCTGCTAGTTCCAGACTGGGCACTGCTTTCCCCCTCACCTTGGGCATCCCTCCACCCCCAACCAAATCAACTTGACTTTTGAAACCACATTAGTTTCTTTTCATGGAACCTTTCCTAGACCCTTCCAGCCCTGTAGCCCCCATCTGCTCATTAATCTTGTTCTGTTCAGGAGCATTTTTATTAGAGTTATTCATCCCCTCCCAGCAGCGTTATGCCTTGCCTCCTTAACTACACAAAAAGGTGCCAAGAGGGCCACCATGTCTTACATTTCCTACAAAGAAGTCAGGAGCTACACTTTAGGGAATTCAACCATTCATATGCTTTCCTTTTACTTGCAATCTTCTCCCTTGTTCTCTACTGCTTTCCAAGCTGGAAATCAGTTTTCACACAAATCCAGATACAGATTATCATCTTTTTAAAGCTCAAGCAACTTTGTAGGGAGAACATTTATTTGTTTGATTCCTTCCCACCTGAATGTATACTGAGCTTTAGAAAAAGAAAATCAGAAAGATCTTCAAATGGAAGTGGTGGCAAGCATAAGTTAAGCTTCAAAAGGTAACTGGATTCTGATGGCTGTGGATAAGGTAAATAATGCTCAGAGCAAGAGGTCTGCTGCTCTCTCCTGGTGGAAGCCACTTTCTATCCCTGTTCAAAATGCCCTATTAAGAGCCTGGGCAACCTATCTAATTTCTTCTTAATTTACCTTGGATCAGAAAACAGACCAGAGGATTAGCCAATTTTTAGGTAAATTAAGAGATCATGTGGTTTGGAATATCTGCCTGCCCTGAGTCACATGCCCATAGTGACTCACTGTTACTCTCCTCCCTCTTGAGCTAGTTCCAGGCTAAGCTCAGCATAACCATGACATCATGTTAGAGGGCTGAAATCCTAGCAGCCCACCAAATTACAATATAGATCTTGCTTAATTCCAACAGCTGGTATGTTCCAACAGTTGTAGAACAAACAAATCACAGCTATTATGCCACTCAGAGATCTGTAACTTAAAGGGATGCCCTTGTCAATCTTTGGAAAAACATAAAAATTGTAAAGCAAAACCTACTTTGTGTCTTAAAGTAGACTTATAAAGGCGAGCAAATAAAATGCAACAGCACTTCAAAAGAGGTAACTTGCTTCTACAATGTAAGAATTATCAGAATTTGTTTGAGGGGGCACATCCTTAGTCTATGATAATGTGAGGGAAAGTAATAAGCTAACATTCAAATGAAGTTTGGTTTACTTTTCAATCACAAGTGATATAGTCAATGAAAAGCTGAGAAGCCAAAGAACTGTCAGAGAGGAATCTTCGTCACCAACAGCATCACACTGCAGGTAGCAGGTATGCATTTTCTGTGTATAGAGAGGAAAGTGACAAACATTCTTCAGTCTTAGCCAGCAATCACCCAAACCTGTGAAACACCTTCCTCCTCTTCTCTTTCCTAGAGATATAAAGGGCTTTTCCTAATTGAGCCCTGAGGTTAATCAGCAAAGATTTCCTTCCCTCTCCTAAGTTATGCCAGTACTTAGAGAGAGCCTTCATCATTCATCATCGGTAACCACTTTCCAAAACAAGGTTATCACCAGTTTCCCCCTCCTATGCATTAAAATAGCTATTGTTTTCATTATGTCCTATGCATTTTACAAGGATCTTATGTTCTTGATACAAGAGTTCATATAGCAGTGCTGCTAAATACAGGTTAAGTGCTGCCATCAAGTGCCCTCTAAGTACTGGAACACTTAATACAAAGCAGACTGTACCAGACCTGTGAACCACAGTAGCTACTATTTCCATCTTGCCCAAGGCCATGTAGGCACTGAGGGGCAGAGGCAAGACTCCAGCCTTACAGTATGACCTCATGCCGCAGTATAAATTTAGAATAATTGGGAAGTGAGAGAGTAGGCAGGGGTGAGTGTATCTTTGAAGACAGGTTGGCTACTATGAAAATGGGAAAGGGCCACTCACTTTCCCTGGATAAGATGAGAACCTGGGAAAT